CCGCATTTCCTCTGTAAATTGGGAGCAGACTTGCACTAGTTTCTATTTCACTCCGAAAAACACTCAGAGAAAGTGTTTTCTTATTGTAGCACACACCACTTCTGATAGTTTATAATGGCGCAGGAAGTTTAGTTAATTTCCCAGAATGTGTGTAAATCTGACAAACCAACTGCAGCCAGTTAGAGAGGAAGGAGAAAAAAAAGCATCACATAGGTGACTTTTTGTCCCCTATGTGAGAAAAAATAAAGTTTATTGAAAAAAAAGTAAAGGGTGTAAAAGATGTATCACCTTGTGAAAACATGGAAGACGCTGCTCTGCTGCCCTCTGATAAGTGATCGTTCATGGATTGCTTTTCATAGGGTGGTAAAAACTGTTGCAGGAGTAAACAAGGCCTAAATGTTATATGTTTACTGCTGTTCAAGGTAGTGAGACTCCCAATCTCCAAGCAGAACTCCTCCTGTAGGTGCTAGCCCAGCTCGTGTGCTGCCTTTAGCGTGATACACATTTACCAGCCAGACTGTATTTCCACTGTCTGTATTGGTTTTACCCTGGTTCAAGTAAGTGGTTTATTTGTAGTGCAGCCGATTGGACTTCCTTGGTTCTCATCAAGGCCTAAATGTTACTAAGCTACAGTAAAGGAAAAATACGGTTTCTGCAAAACAGGGCAGCACTGCCTTGCAGTTTTAGGCTCCTTGTTTTATAGACTATTCTTAGCTGCTCTGCTGTAAAAAGTCTATTTTTTACAGAGCGCAGTACCTCAAAATAAAATTTACACACAGATGAGAAGTGGGGAAAGGTTATGTCAGGACCCAGGTCTGCACATGAAACTTCTGCTGTTTTTGGCAATGTCTTTTCTTACTGAGTCAGCTAGGATGCTATAGTAGAGACTCAGCAAGAAGAGATATCACCACACATAGCAGAGGTCGCAGGTTCACACTCGGGTCTTGTTCTAGCCTTTCCCTACTCTAAAAAAAAGGATGATAAGTGACACATTCAAAGTCCCTCCCTGTGCTGCTCAGAAAGGAATTGAACATATCTTAAATAAAGAGAGAGTCTTAAAGAAAACAGCTGCTGCTGTGCTCACAACCCATGATGCTCTGCGACTCCAGTGCCATGGAAGTAGCCTGTGTTTAAAAAAAATGTATAACTCAAATCAGGACTCCAGGCAGTTATACAAGTCATAAATCAACAGAGCTTTTTTCATGAATTAATATTTCAGTGTATTTTTAACATGAAAGCAGTGCAGGTACCTGTATTTGACCTGCTTTCAGCATCTTGAAATCATCTACACAGCAGAACTCAGACTGGGAAAAGGAAAGGTGCCACAGGGAGGAAATGAGAGCAGCTGTAGCGCTCAGGGGCATATTCACCACAAGGCAAACAAGGCACTTGCCTAGGGCAGCATTTTTCAGGGTGGCAGCAACTCCCCCCCGCCAGAAGAAGGGATGAAAGAAGGCACACACGCGTCATAGGAACCATGTGGGACACAAGAGAGGCCACAGGCTGCTTGATGGTGTATGTAGAGCCTGACTCTCATCCCAGGCATCTCTGGAGCTGAGAAGGTGAGTATTTTTGTCACTATTGCCAGTGGGGGGGGGGGGGAGGTAGTGGAAGGCTCTCCCAGGTGGGGGGCAGGGGTGTTGTTGGTCAATGTCAGGCTCTCTCCTCGGGAGGGGGAGGGGGGGGTGTTGGTCATTGTCCATGGAGACAGACAATTTTTATGTTGCACAAAACCTAAATACACCACCTCATGTGCTAACAATGAGTATACAGATACAAGAAGAGAGCAGAGAGACTGAGAGATGTGCTCATCAGTCTGCTGTTTCTCCTTTCACTGTCCAGTCACAGGAAGATCAGTTCTCCTGACCTGCCAGGCTGGACTGTGCTAGGTTGCAAAATTGTGTAAATCTCAGAACTGGATGGACAAAAATACAAATACTTTGGCAAGTAAAACAGCTCTCATACATATATTTCAATGGTGTGTTTAGCTGTTTGCCCAGAGTTCAGCTCCAACAACAAAACACCAACACAAAAAGTTGTGATTTAATGAGAACTTGCATGTAACAGACTGCCACTTAGGAAAACCTTGCTGGCTACAGGTTGTACTTGTGCTTCTGTTCTTTTAACTTTACAAAAGAAAAAAAAATGCTTCAGCAACAGAGGTTACATAGAGGACTGGAAATTAGGCCACATAGATTTTTTAGACAGTCCACAGAGAGTTTTGACAAGAAAAAATATGATCTTGCATTGAACATATAGCCCAATTAGAGTATGTATAAGCATTTCAGTGCCTGTATTCCTGCTCATTAAATTACTTCCTATCTTCTTTTGAAATTAACTTTTATTGTCAAATTAAACTTAAGCAGGCAGATTAAAAACTACATAATGAAACTGATCTAGTCATTAAATGTCTATTGCAGCTTAATGCTTAAAGTGATACTCTGCAAAAAACAAAACAAAAGAAGAAAATAAATCTACAGGTCAGTTATAGGTATTGGCAGGATTTTTAACAAACATCATTGCAGGTAGATGACTGCTCCAACAATGCAGATACTGAGTCAGGGTAGTTCACTAATCATGTGAACAGTAAGGTTTCTTTTACACTTGTGATTGATGGGGGGAAATAAAAACAGGCAGTTTAGCCACATTTTTTCATTTCAATCTGTTTATTGATTTTTAAAGTTTTAGTAAAGTTTTTATACTTTTACCTACAAGTAAGCTTGTTATAAAGCTTACCTGTAGATAAAGTGAATATGTCCTAAACGTGCGCCGTTTAGGAGATATTCTAGCGAGTCGCATCTGGAGACATCACCTGCGCATGCACTCTGAAGGAACAGCGTACCCGTGTCATTACTTCAGAGCTGTGTGTCACGGGCGTAGCTCGGGAGTGACGTCATCATGGCTTCGGCCATTCAGGTGGCCACAACGCAGGAAGGAAGACCGGGTGAAGATTGAAGCCTCTGCAGCAGTGACAGCACACCACTGGAGGGCTTCATTTTCAGGTACATCTTTCATAATGTGCTAGTATGTGATACATCATAGCACATTTTGACATTACTTTGCAGGGGAAAATCTTTTTATTTTTTTTAGGTTTACTACTGCTTAAAAAACACATATAGAGCAATAAAAAAAAACAAACATGAAGAAAGAAATATACTAATACCATACTGTCAACAGGGTTTCTAAGAAGGCATATCAATACAAAGTGACAATCAGGAGCATATTATAGTAATACTAGCAATGACAAGCGTTGTCACATCTTGGTACAGAAATAGCCATGGTAATTACTTATAAGCACTGCTCAATGTTTTCCTCTCACCCACCTACGAATATAGGCGAGACATCATAAAAATGGAGCCACGTGTTAACGTCCCCTTAACCCACCCAAACGGCAACTGTATTGGGGAATACACAATATTATCCCCCTGTTATGTTGAATGGGGCCACAATGCAACTGCCCTGAAACCGCATGCAGTGCAGTGGGGGTTTTAAGGGTTCAAACAGGCAGCATGGAGGCAACATATTGCCTTCTTACTCTCTGTCAAATTCCCACAGAAAAACCATCTACAGAGGATCATTCTTCAGAGGGCAATGCTTGTGTAAATGAGCCCTATATGAGCCCCATTAAAGGTCTCTAAAAAGATCCTTGAGAATACCAGTTGGGAGCTGAAAGCATGAACTAGACTAGCTGGATTGGGCAGTCAAATCTATTCTGATAACTGATACTTTGATACATATGATGACTCAGTGTGATCACCACTTGGGGAATGTGGCACTTGAAAAGCATGCTAACCTAGGTGTGGATAGACACTCAAAACCCAAGTCTATGGTGATGCAGAGTATTTGCTGAGCAAATGTATTTAAAGTGCAACTTTGGTTGGAAAATGAAGCCCTCCTACTAGATCACTTCAGGCTGGCCCCTTTTATATGCTGTAGTTATCGAAAACATAGAAAATAAGTGCCTATACTGTTTAAAAATCCAGTAATACCCCTGCCCTGCACAATTTCTCTATTTTTCAGGACTGTGTCAAAAATGTAGAGGCTGATCTGCTGACAGCCTAAAGATTTAGGGTTCATGTACATGGGACGTTTGGAAAACTCTTCTGAACGATAGAAACTGACTGCTGGAAAACGTAGGTTAAAAAACTGTTTAGTCACATTTGCATACCGAGTTCACGAGCGTAAAAAAACAGTAAAAAAATTAACTATTTCAGACATTTTGAGAGGAATAGAGAGAGCAGAAGCAGAGAGAGCAGTATGTGTTGAGATGACCTGTCTTTTCTGGTTGCAGTCACTATGGATCCCATCATGAGCATAATGCGGCACGTTCTACAATTTTTTCCTTCACGCAAAAACCTGGAACTGACTGTGCTGGTGTACCAGGTCCATTTGAATACATGGAAAACACTTTTCATGTATTTCTGATGATGAAAAAAGGCTCCGGGCAGCATCTGGACATGGAACAGTTAAACAATGCTTCCAAACACAAACGCTTATAAAAGAGGTTAGCCGCATTTACACGCGTTTACAAGCATTTGGCATTTGAAACTGATAAAGTCTACTCCTGAACGTAAGTTTGCTGCGTTAAAAAAAACAACTTTAACCACCTCCCGCCCGCCATATAGTCCAATGACGGGCGCAAGGTGGTTCTCTCGTTCTGGGAGGACGTCATATGATGTCCTCCCATTCTCAGCGCGGCGATCGGCAGTGCGCTGTGTCCCTCAGACACAGCGGATCACCGATCTATGGAAAGAGCCGAAGATGTCGGCTCAGTCATGTGATCAGCTGTGTCCAATCACAGCAGATCACATGTAAACAGGGAAATGCCGGTTATCGGCATTTCTCTCCTCTCGAGCTGTCACGCTGACAGCTTGAGAGGAGAGGAGAGCCGGTAATCGGCATTCCGCGGAGGGGACAGGTACACTGATCATCACGGCACTGATGATCAGTGTGCCCTGATGATCAGTGTGGCCCTAGAAATGCCACCAGTCAGTGTTCATCAGTGCCAGCTGTCAGTGCTAAACAGTGCCACGTGCCAGTGCCCATCAGTGCCGCATCAATGCCACATATCAGTGCCTACCAGTGCACATCAATGACACAAATCATCTGAGCTGCCTTTCAGTGCCACCTATCAGTGCTGCCCAATCAGTGCCGCCTATCAGTGCCAGTCAGTTCCTGCCTATAAGTGTGCATCAGTGCCGCCTGTCAGTGTCCATCAGTGCCACCTATCAGTTCCAGTCAGTGCCACCTAACAGTGCCAGTTAGTGCCACACAGCAGTGCCAGTCAGTGCTGCCTATCAAAGCCATATATCAGTGCTGCCTTTCAGTGCCCATCAGTGATGCCTGTCAATGCCCATCAGTGCCACCTACCAGTGCCTCCTCATCAGTGCCCATCAATGCCACCTATCAGTGTCCATCAGTGCAGCCTGTCAGTACCCATCAGTGCAGCCTCATTAGGGCACATCAGTGAAGGAGAAAAATCACTTATTTACAAAATTTTATAACAAAAACTAAGAAAAAACATTTTTTTTTCAAAATTTTCAGTGGTTTTTGGTTTGTTTAAGAAAAAAGAAAAAACCCAGAGGTGATTAAATATCACCAAAATATAGCTCTATCTGTCACAAAAAAAATTATAAAAATTTAATCTGGGTACAGTGTTGCATGACTGCGCAATTGTCATTCATAATGTGACAGCGCTGAGAGCTGGAAATTGGCCTGGGCAGGAAGGGGGTATAAGGGGTTAAACTCAACTGCCTGTAAACAACTGTAAACGACATAGTGTACATGGACACATAGGAAAACATTAGGGAGAGTTCAGGGGCTGCTGAAAAAAATGCAGAAAATCTCCTAAACGTCAGGAGCTCTGGGCTTCAGCAAAATGGCAGCCTCCAGCAAGAAGAAACAGGAGCAACGCTGGAGGCAATTTACAGCACACACTAATTTTGGTAGCAGAATTATTAATGTGGAATGCATGTTCCTTGCTAAAGAATATTATTTTTGATTAAGCTGTTATGGGTAAAGTTCCATTTTAAAGTGTATTCCGAGGTAGAACTATTTTTTAGGGTTAAGGATAGGGTTAGGCCTTTTGTCAAGTTTGTATTGCTGTGTATTCCCCGAGATCCACTCTCTCTATTTGAACTGGTGACCATTATTACTGAATAAAAAAAAAGTAAAATAAAAAATGTTAGAATTGTAATTTGAACAAGAGGTGTGGGGAAATCTTCCAATGGTGAATTCCCCTCATTTTAGGAGATTTCCACAAGCATCCTGATACATCTCCAGGACAATTAGAGAACGGAAATTTCCTCAGTGGTAACCAATTCCAGCTCTATGTGATACTAATAAAAAAAGTTTGGACCATTTTTACACTTTAATGGAAAACTAGTGTACTTAATATTTTGATAGTCCAGGATTATATTTCACATACTATTTTATATTATTCCTCTAGCATTGCTATGTCTATCAGTGCAGCATGAACATGAACACTTTTTAAATATGTATGAGAGTATACCTGCAAAAGCAGAGGCTGTATATTTCCCTATCCTGCTGGCCTTTCCTCCTATATGAGACCTCTTGGTGAGAATTGATCTCCAAGTCTCTGACACATTTTTACTTGTAGGATTCCTAGTCTTCCTATGTTCACTGTGGTTCCTTCTGCTGGCCCCTACTGTGTCTTGTAGAGATGACAGAGTCAGTGGAAGAACCAAAGTGAGTGGCAGGGGGGGCACAGGCATCCAACGCTCTTGGAAGTGTTGAATGTAAAGATTAGATATCTAGAACACAGCAAAAATGCAGGAAGAGTGGGTAGATGGATATGTAAGCATAAAGCACCTTCTTTTAGGCAGTTGGATAAACGTTTTTAAAGTGTTACTAAACCCAGGACCTTGCATTCACTTTATCCAATCTTCCACAGTACACAGAACATGGAAATGCAATTATTTTAGTAAACTGCTAAATACCTTTCTCAGCAGTATATAGCAGTCTTCCGGCTGAGCACGGGTTAAAGCTTGTAAAGCTTGTAGGAGGAGTTTTCATTCTCCTCTGACTGTCCTATAAGGCTGCATGACCCCTGACCCTCTATCTGGACAGTGCTGATTGGCCCCGCACCCTCCCAAAAAAAACTCTCTAGCAATACACACCAAACACTGCATGCACAGAGTGCCTCCTAGGAGGCAGATGGAATGGGGACTGTAGAAGAAGGGGAGGATCAGTGAGGACAGGATCAAACAGCCTTTTTACACAATGCAGAGGATTAGCTCCTTAGGTTCCACAGTGAGTATAACAAGCATGCTTTACTGCATATACAGACTGATTTTACTGTTGTGGTTTTAGTAACACTTTAACCACTTGACCTCCGCCCTATACAGATTTACTGCTAAAGGGCGGACATTCTGTGCAAAATCACATATATAATTATGATTTTGCACTTCCGCTGTAGGGGGTGCGCGTGCCACTGAAGCGCCAATTCTGCTGTGATTGGACACAGCAGAAGTCGATCAGCAGGTCCCGCTATAAGTCGCTGATCGCTGCCATTACTAGTATTAAAAAAAAAAATTACCAAAAATAAGTCAATTTTGATTTTTTTATTGGATATGTTTGTTTTGTTTTAATTTAATATTTTTTAATTTATAGTACAAAAAAATAAAAAACCCCAGAGGCGATCAAATACCACCAAAAGAAAGTTCTATTGTTAGGAGGGAGAAAATCATATAAATTTTGTTTATGTATAGTGTTGCATGACAGCGCACTTGTCAGTTAAGTAATGCAGTGCCATAAAGGCCTGGTCATGAAGGAGGTAAATCTTCCAGAGGTCAAGTGGTTAACTAAGCAATGCTTTAATTTTATAAAGTGCATTATCACTTGCCCTAAACCCTGGCCATATCCTCACTTTTAATGAAATTCACTCCTTCCGAGTCCTCCCAAACCCCCCCTCCCTATCCTTCTCCTCCTTCGAGGCCCACTGCGTCCGACTATTCTCCCCAACCCCCCTGAAGATTGCTGTGATATACCGGCCTCCTGGATCCATACCCCGCTTCCTGGAAGACTTCTCCTCCTGGCTACCCTTCTTCCTCTCCTCTGAGCTACCCACTATCATCCTTAGGGATTTCAACATCCCTGTCAACCTCGACAACCCGGACACAACCCGTCTCCTCCACTTAACCTCCTCCTTTGCACTTGCACAGTGCATACAATCCACCACCCACTCCGACGGTAATATCCTTGATCTTGTCTTCTCCAACCGCTGCGCTCCCCACAACCTCACTAACACCCCCTTCCCTCTCTCTGACCACAACCTGATTACCTTCTCTATCTCCTCATCCTCCAACGCCTACCCCTCCAAATGTCACTCCTCTACCAGCCGTAACCTCCGCAACCTTAACCCTGCCTCCCTCCACTCCACAGCTGATCAACTCCATGACCGCATCCTCCCCCTGTCCTGTCCCGACTTGGCTATGACCGCCTACAACAATGCGCTGTCAACAGCCCTTGACTCACTAGCACCTTTAACCACACACAACATCAGACCCCGACCGCTCCAGCCCTGGCAGACTGATCACACCAAAACCCTCAAACGACACAGTCGTGCCCTGGAGCGACTATGGCGCAAAACCAAATCCCAACAAGCCTTCACCCGATACAAATCTGCCTTCCACACCTACACCTCCTCCCTCCACACTGCCAAACAAGCCTACTTCCTGACCCTCATCAAGGCCCTCTCCTCCAATCCTCGCCGACTCTTCTCCACCTTCAACTCTCTACTCTCGCCACCCCCACCTCCACCCAGCACCTCACTCACTGCCCTTGAGATTGCCAATCACTTCAAAAACAAGATTGACACTATTCGCAAGGACATTGCCGCAACTCACACGCCTTCTCAACCCGTCCCCTCTCACACAGCTACCCCCTCATCCCCCCTCCCCCTCGACATAACCCACAGGGACTTCGTCGCTGTTCAAACTCCCTCCAACCCCCTTCCCCCTCACTCAGCTACCCCCTCTACACCCCTCTCCCACGGCCCCACCACTGCTCTGACCTCCTCTCCCACCCCACCCTACATTCCTCATACTGAAGCTCCCCCAACACTCCGCACCTTTGACCTTACTACCATCGAAGAAGTCTCCAAGATCCTCTCTGATGCCTGCCTCACCACCTGCCCCCTCGACCCTATCCCCTCACAACTCCTACAACCTCCCTCCCCCTCCATCCTACGCTCCCTCACCCACATCTTCAATCTCTCCCTCTCCTCCGGCACTTTCCCTTCCCCTCTGAAACATGCACACATCACCCCCATACTTAAAAAGCCCTCCCTGGACCCCAATGACCCAAACAACCTCAGACCCATCTCCCTGCTCCCATTTACATCTAAACTCCTCGAGCGCCTAGTCTACGCCCGCCTATGCTCTCACCTCAACGACAACAACCTCCTCGATCCCCTACAGTCCGGCTTCCGTCCCCTACACTCCACCGAAACTGCCTTACTCAAACTCTCCAACGACCTGCTAACCGCCAAAGCTAATGGCCACTATTCAGTGCTCCTACTCCTTGACCTCTCTGCGGCCTTTGACACAATCGACCACCCCCTCCTCCTCAAAAAAACTACACTCCCTCGGCCTCAGAGATTCTGCTCTCTCCTGGCTCTCATCCTACCTGTCACAATGCTCTTTCAGCGTTACCTATAATGCCTATAATCTCTCAACCCCCCCCACCTCACCCGCTCAGTCTCCGCCCGAATCACACACCTGTTGAGCGACATATCAGACTGGATGTCACTCCACTTCCTTAAACTGAACCTCTCCAAAACCGAGTTTCTTGTCTTCCCTCCAGCCCGGACACCACCCCCCATTGACTTCTCCATCATGTCCAACAACGCCACCATCAAACCCGCCCCGCAGGCCAGAGTACTTGGTGTCATTTTGGACTCCAACCTATCCTTCCAGCCCCAAGTCCACTCTTTAACAAACTCGTGCAGACTCCACCTCCGCAACATCGCCAAAATCCGCACGTTCCTAACCCAGAAACCACTAAACAGCTCATCCACTCCCTCATCATATCACGACTCGACTACTGCAACTCCCTCCTCACTGGCCTGCCTCGCCCCTGGCTATCCCCGCTTCAGTCCATCCTGAATACGGCTGCCAGACTCATTCACCTTTCCAACCGCTCCGTTTCCGCCACCCCCCTCTGCCAATCCCTCCACTGGCTTCCGATTGCGCAACGGATCAAATTCAAAATCCTAACACTGACGTACAAAGCTGTCCACCATACTGCCTCGAACTACATCACTGACCTAATATCCAAGTACCCCCCCGCCCAGCACGCACACTCCGCTCCTCACAAGACC